TTTTGAAAATGTTCCGGAAGGTCTGACACTTTTATATATATCTTAAATTAAAGCTAATGTAATGTTCTTTATTATCCAAAAAAAAAATTTCGTACTTTATTTTATCTTCAAGGTAAAATTGGCTACCAAATGCTATTTTTTGTGAAAATTTTCGATTTTGTATTTTACATTTTTAACTTTATTATGCTATAACTTTTTGAAAAATGTATGGATCAGTACAATTTTTTTATGAAGAGTAGTATTTATATACATCTTTCATTTGACATACTGTTTATTTAAATCGTACCATTTTCCTTAATACAGGGAGGATTCAAAACATAAAAATGCATATAGAAAGTAGAACTTTTTCAACTTAAATTTTGAAAGTGTTCCGGAAGGTCTGACACTTTTATATATATCTTAAATTAAAGCTAATGTAATATACTTTATAATGGTAAAAAAAAATTTCGGACTTTATTTTATCTTCATGGTGAAAACAGACATCAAAGTAAATAAAAAAAATACGATTTTTGTAAAAAAATTCTTTTTTATAATTTTAACTTTAAACTGCTATAACTTTTTGAAAGATGTATGGATCAATATAATTCGTTTTTTGTAGATGCATGATGTCTTTACCTATTATTTGGTAAATTTTTTTTATTAGTCTGACTTTTTACCAGCCTACAGGAGGGGATTCAAAATGACTACTTTTTTCACAAAAAATTGACTTTTTCAACTTAAATTTTGAAAGTGTTTCGGAAAATCTGATACTTTTATATATACCTTAAATTAAAGCTAATGTAATTTACTTAATTATATAAAAAAAAAATTTCGGACTTTGTTTTATCTTCACGGTGAAAATTGCTACCAAATGTTATTATTGTGTGAAAATTCTCGATTTTATTTTTTACATTTTTAACTTTATAATGCTATGACATATTGAAAAGTGTATGGATCAACATTATTTTTTTTATGAGAAATAATATTTTTTAATTATCCCTTTTTCATTCAACATACTTTATCTTAATTAAGATATTAATAATGAACAAGCTTTTGGAATAATACACAAATTTTTTTAAAATTAAATCAATCTAATGATTTGAATCGAAGCGTTTATTTTAGATAGTGATTTTAATCACTGTCAGATATCATTATACTTAATCCATCTATGCCACGTCATCACTGTGCCGCGACCCCCCTGTGCTGGGTTTTTTTTTTATTCAAATGTCTATGTGTCTAGACAAACAAGGTAATAAAAGTTTTTTTTTTTTTATTATGGTACTTAATAGCATACTATTTTATAAGGATTTTTTCTTTATAATCGAATGAGTATTAGTTTGTGTGTTGTACCAGAGTTAATTTAATTTCTCCCGTATTCTAAAATACATAATTATTATACATTTTTTTTTTTTTTACATATCTTCTTTGTTGTTGATTACTGTTATTGCTTCTATACTTTGTTGAATGGCTTCTTGTTCTTTACGGTTAGTTTCTAGTTCGCACCATAGTCTTTCCACTTGTTTTGCTAATTTTTTTTTCTGATTTCTTTGTTTATGAGTGGGCCAATTCCTCTTGGGTTTTGATGATTTCTATAAGCTTTTTTCGATTTCTTGTTTTTGTTTATTGATAAATATCTCACATTAGCGGGCTGTGCCATTTTCTGTTAAGTGTTTGAGTGTATAATTATAGTAAACCAAGTCATGTAGTTCTGCTAAGAGAAGGTAGGTCCTTTCCTCTTTTCCTTTGAATATTTTCATTACCCCATTATCAAAAGGTGACCAAAGACTTTTCGTTAATAGTTGTGTGTATTTTTTAACCAGTATTAATGGTGTCCCTTCTAATTTTATTATTTGATCTTTGTCTAAAATACCTGATATGGCCCCACTTACTAAGAGAATGTCATATCTTCTAAACATTCCAAATTCAACATCTATAATATAAAATTTGTAATTCTTGTCCATACTGTAAAAAGTTGTAGTAAAAATATAAAAGAGTCAGTTGAATGTTATAAGTTAGTTTAACAAGTTTTACCTGTGAAAAATAAAATTTATTAGCTTAAATTAATGTTAGTAAAGTTTGTATATTTCATATAAACAATAAGTTAATATATGATAAATATTTAGAATTGTTTCCTTGGAACTGGAGGTGGCACTAAAATCATATCCATTTTTATTATTACAGGATATATTTTGCAACATATAAAAATTATGACCAGTGATAATATTGTCAGCTATGATAGATATATTATATCCCCAAGAAATTAATCTATAGAAGGTTGTGATATTTGTTTTAAAATGATGTCATTAAAGTACTTCTCTGGATTTGGTATTTGTTTTGTAATGTGAAAATTTGGTATTTTATTTACCCAGTCTCTGTCTAAGATTTCTGTCAAGTTTGCAAAATATATTTTTTCACTCTGTACCTCATGCTGTATTTTAAGTGACTGTATATTAGTCCATGATATCGGAATTACACGTCTAATTAAAAATTTTCCTACATTATTCATTTCGCATGGATATAATTTGGGTATGAGTATTTCATCATTTTTTTAATAATTCTTGATTACATGGTAAGGTTAGTTTTATTAGACCAGGGTAGTTGTAATTGAGTGTTAAGTTAGTTAGAGTAGTGTTATTAATGTTAAATGTTCGGATATTTAAAGTTGGGAGACAGTTAGTTATTGCAAATGTATTTATTCCTATTTGTTTAATTATTACAGATTCGTCTTCTTGTTGATTAACACACTGAAAATAACAATATTTATTTAGTTTATTACGTGGTAAATTTTTGAAAATAGCTTCTACGAATTTTTGTGTTAAAGTAATATCAGTTGAAAATTTTGGAATGAAACAAAGTACTATACGGGCGGATCGCAATCTCTTAAGAATAGACGTTGTGACGTTCACCGATAACTAACCGTGAGGTTATCACCGATGAAGCACATAAACCCAAACGAAGTTGGATTCACCACTAGCCGAGGCTCTACCAGACCGGAGCATAGTGGAATTTTAAATATAACTGACACATTTGTTGTTTTAATTTACTAAGTTTTTACCTTAACTCTAGGGGAAAAGGAATTAAAAACTGGTAGACAAGTAGTATAGGCGATGATGTTCTATTTTATATACTGAGTTTAACTAAAATAATAATGCCCAAAGTACAATAAAATAAATATCAGTTACAAATGTTCAAAGTCAAATAAAATTACAAATTCTTTTATATAACATATTTCAAGTCATAGTTTAAAATTATTAAAAATTATTAAATGAGCTAAGGACAAATAAAATAAAAGGGACATGAGGAAAAAAATAATCTCTGACACTTCTGTATTGACTATGTTCGATTTGACCAAGGGTCAGGATCGTACTTTCCAATATTGAATAAATAAAATGGTTATCATTGCAATAATGCTCAAACTAAAAACATGACATCGGTCAATATGGATCTAGGCCTTTTATACCGAGCCTTGAGACTGCTAAGCACGTCTAGATTGGTCCAACATGAGGTTTTATTACACTCAACATAATAAAAATAATGATAGAATGGACGAAAATGATATTTTATCATAATTTACCATTAGTCAATGAGCAAATATGCCAAGAGATAAGATAGAATAATCATGTTAAAATATTAAAATATATTAATGACATTTTTAAAGAAACCTCGTGACAATGCACGAATAGTGGGAACAATGAAATGGACAAAAACAAAGAAAAAACGGGAATGCTGTACAAAGTTACCAAATTATATTATCATGATGCCCAGGCCGTAGCCAACAAATGAGTCTTCACCCATGGCTCGATCGCCAGGGCCAAAAGTAAAGTTAGGCAGCCATGATATGTTCAAATATACGCAACATAAAACTAAGTAAAAAGGCTGGAGACAGAACAAACGACCGGCCAAAACACATTTGAACAAAACGGCCAGACCACTTGTCGGCGACGACACACATGGCCCGGAAGGGGAAACAAACGCCGACATCAGTACATGCTTCGTTGACAGACATCTGGGGCCGGTTGAATGATTGACATTACTGTAGTGGTCAGCTGGGCGTTTTGTTATCACAATGATAATTTGTTATGAACGATTGTACAACAGATAATAGAAAAAAGGGAATGTGCGACTGCATTATTTAGGAAAATTGAATAATGTTATTACTGAATTATACTGTTCAAAATTAGTTTTTATTCACCACGAAATTTATACTATCTAGACAATAACACCGCATTACCAATTGCCGAGCAATTACACTTAATTATATGATGTTCACAATAACTAATTCATTTACTAATGTGTTAAATAATACTCTTAATGATAGGTCAATTTTTTACGTCACAACCTGATATTAAACGGTATTCTTTGTTAACTGAATTGAATGCGATATAAGTTTTTTCTGAATAGATAAGACATAAAAAATC